AAAAAATACAATTAAAATTGTCAAAATTCTGATGACAGACGATTGGAAAGTAGTTGGTTTTACGGCAAATCTCACGGGCAAGTTGTACGCACGGGTGAAAAATCTAGGACAGTAAGAACTATGGCGTCTTGTGAGTTTTTAAAAGTTTATTTCTATATAGCATTCAAGAAAATACGCATACATATCTACTATCATGGGTGGGCGCATTTATGAGGCCAAGCGCATGCGTATTTCGCTTATGAGTTAAAGGCGCATGCGTATTTCGCTTGTCAGTCAAAGGTGTGTGCGTATTTTCTGATATAGCTGAGTTAATACATTTAGTATGTGCCTGTGTTTTTTTTTTATTTTTCTGATCCATAATATCGGAGTGCGATTGAAAAAAAATCATTGAATGTCAGAATATAGACAACAACCAGCATAACAAAATAAAAAAAAAACCTCTAGAAAGAAATAAGCGGTCGAACGAAACTTCGGCCAAAGCGGAGACATTTTCTGTCTTCCATAATACTCAATCATTTTTATGTTCCATATCACAACGCATATTTATCTTTAAATATTCTACCACGTATCGAGAAGAAATATAATTATATCCTTACAAAGTATATCAATAAATCCGTAGCCTAATTATTCAAACAGCACTTATTTTACGTAACATATATTTCATTTTTCAATATAATGCCTTTCCTGGTACTTACACCAACGCTATTCAGTCACATGGCTCGGAAAGCTCACTGCCAAAATCATAAAAAAATTAGCTAATAACAGTGACATGATACGGAGTTATTGATTTTCATTTCTTTCTTTCTTTTTTTATGGTGGGGGCGTGAAGTAACATATATAATTAGTTTATTTATTAGAGGTCTTCGAACAGGCGGATACCATTAGCATTGAAGTTATGTTGTTAATGTCACAGATACGCTGAAGAGTGTATGTCTCCGGAATGGGGAACCATATCCTGCTCAAGATTGCCCTGTGCGGCTTCCTCTCCACTGGCCACCGTGACGGAGGGACACCAAGGAAGCGTTATAAGGACTCCCTCAAGAAGTCCCTCGGTACCTGCCACATTGACCATCGCCAGTGGTCGACACTTGCTACTGACCGTCAATTCTGGCGCCGCAACGTCCACAAGGCCGTCTCCAACTTTGAGGACCCTCGCAGGGCCAATCTGAAGGAGAAACGCCGCAGGAGAAAGAACCGGGAAACCTCAGCAGCTGCACCAGACCAGACCTTTAATTGCAGTCGCTGTGGCCGCACTTGCCTGTCCCGCATCAGACTAGTCGACCATCAGCGTGCCTGCAGTCGACGTGTATAGCCCACTTCATAAAACTTCAGATGGGTCCAGATGATTACTCTTTTTTAGATAAAGATTCACCGGATATTTCATTATTCCACTTAACCCATTTTATTAGATAGTTTGGAAATTTCTTTCAGCTTCTTAATTTATCCTGTGAGCATTCTAGGACACAGAAAATTATTTTTCAGGCATAAAAAATGATATCCGCTGACTACTTTTATTCTAGCCACCTCGTTCATATGAAACTCAATTGAACCTACGTACGCCATCTTCTACTGAAGAGAAAAAAGAACGTTTCTGTTAAGTCACCCCAAATAATGTAAAATTACTTATCGTAAATATTAATTCGCCTCAAGAAATTGTAAATTTTAAATTAAAGTTTGTTTTTATTAAATTTTTGACACTCATTTGAAATTGTAAATTTGAAATCGAAGTTTGAAAATTTTGCTCTTTATTTTTAAATATTTTTGGCACTCTTTTTAAATTTTAAATTTTGCTTTTTATAAATTTTAAATTAAAAATTTTTAATTAAAAATCATTTATCTTGACATAAGGCTGCTGGAGTTCTCAGAACTATTGTGGAGAGAGATGAGAATTGTTACGACCCTCGAAAGAAAAATGTTGTATGCCAACTGCCAAACAATTTGGTATTTGGGGCATATGCCGTGAAAGAAAAGAATGTTTCATGTACTGTGTGCCAGATAGAATAGCCTTCACATTATTGGAAACATTCTGAAGCTGTATTTTATCTGGAACTACGATTATGTCGGATTGTTGGGAAGGATATACGTGTTTGAAGGATGATTGCAATTATATTCACTTGACTGTAAATCACTCTATGAATTTCGTGACCCAGAAACATCAGTTCACAAGAAAACAATCGAAAGTATCTGGCGTAAGGCCAAAACAAAGAATAAGTCCATATTTAGTAATCATCGCAGCATGGTGGACTTTAATTTGTGAGAATTCTTTTGGAGGCGTAGGACAAAAATTAACAATAAATGCATTTTTGAATGAATTTTAACGCACATATCTGAAATTTTAATGTGAATTTTAGTAAATATAAAGTCATTTTATTTTGGGGTGAATAAACAGAAAGATCCGGTAGAATTTTACATGTCTTATGCCTTCGGACGGATTCTGAATGTTAAATATGATATTTTTCAAATTCTAATCGCTTTGCACAGTTCTCAGTGGAAAACTTTTCCTACTAAATGACGAATGGAGATAATGTTTCAAAAGGACAAAATGTTGAATAAAGTAAAAACGCTCATATCGCTATGATTTTAAAAATTCGGTTCGAATAATCAATTAAGCTATTCTAAACTTTTTATTGCTTAGCTTTGACATTATTTAATAAATAACACCCTTAAAAGTGTTTAAGCCTCTATAATCCTCCATATACGCTTTTTTAAGTCACACACAAACACACCACACACACACACACACATATA